AATGATAATATTGTCATAGTAAACTAAAAACAATCAGTACATAACAGATACTATACTTCTCTATACTACTATACACATCGGGCGAGTTATTTTTTCTAATTTCAGATCAGAATAAGAACAGAAGAAAACCCAATATCAAGACCCTTAATCCTAATTTCTAAATAAAGTGTCTGCTCCACCCTAGGCCTGTACATTTGGGAGAATCAAACCCTCCCTTCCCCGAAATCTACCAGAAATATTGTGGTAATTGATATCAAACCTGTCTAAAACCGTCGGAGTAATGTCCATGTTACTAACCAAGGCTTCTGTTTGCTGAAAATGTAAGAGTAATTATATCAAATCAATATTAAGGTATACTCCCCCTGAGTTATATTGCACACAACGTTTCAGCACTTTACATTGTTATCATTCAGTAAAATGAAATACAGTATCTAGTTATGTGAGTCACATGTATGGTCACAAAAGATACAATGAAATACTTTCATGTAAGTTTCAAAAATGTTACGTACTCACGATTCACTGCTCACGTAAGTGAGTTACGTTCTAAGGTGGGAATAGGCGGGATACGGTGTCGTATACGATATGGGATGCGGAATTATTGATACCGCACAAATTACAACAACCAATTCGACGTGTTAAAGGGATTTTAAAGAGGTTTTCTAAACTTTTTAGACACTGATAGCATCAATTTGCACTATTTCAATTTTCATTCCGACGTCTGTGGTTCTTGCAATTCCATATGACGTCGATTATTTTAAGTATTCTTACGTGCTCGGCGAACAGCTACTAACGAAGTAAAACCATGTTTAAAAACATTATTTTTATGACGTATTTAAACTGAAATCTAATATGTAACCTAATTTATAGCGCTTATTTAGACGGTCTACCCTGAAAGTTCCTCTGACGTTTTACAACATATCATAATGAACGGCATCAGTTGTTTGCCGGAATTATGTCAATATTGTCACGTGATACTGGTATTTTAAACATCAGAGGCTTGTCTTTCTGAACTACAAGTGTTTGGAAACAAAAAAGAAGAAAACAAAACATTCGTAAGAATTCAAACTGATAACATAATGCATAAGTGGCCAACCGATAGTTAAAATACAGCTTTTAATACATAAGTTAGTATCAGTATGATCTTCCATGGGCTCTAAAGATATTGATTATATCTTGGAGGTACGGTGGCTCATATTGGACATCTTTCACTTTTTATTTTGATTTAAAAACGTTTAATTATGTGATCATTTCTGTAAATTTGAATTAAAAACTTTAATTTTGACTTGGGCGATAAATCAACGAATCTTGTAAAGAACGTCGAAAAAAGAATTATCATCTTATATTTACCAAGGTGAAAATACAAGTTTTTTTATTCAAAATAAAAAGTGAAATATGTCGTATGTGAGCCACCGTATGAGTGCAATATTAATATCACTCGACAAAGAATCGTGAAAAGATGGAAGTAAAGAAAATAATCTCGCCCCAGAAGACTCAACGAAATCATTCATTACCGAGACAGAGAAACTGCCGACAATTGCTCTAGTTGTGACACATCCAGTATGTAGTAGCCTGCGATTGGGACCGGAATTTCCATGTTTTTCACAATCCTATCAGATTTGTTCAGAATAATATGATGGAAATATAAAAGTACAGGGGACCGCATCTTTACATTGGTCAGGTATAACGAACTGCGTCTGAACTACGATAACCACCGTCCCGTATCACGAATTTCAGTGATTTTATGGTTTGCAGCCAGTGAATACGGCCATTCAGAGCCCTTGACTGAAATACGTAGGCATTGTGGCTTATTAATTACTACAGCCCTTATCGAGGGCTCTAATTGGCTGTATTCACTGGCGTAGAATCTAATAAATAACCGTATTTACAGACTTCCATGATACAAGAAGACGAAGTTCATTTACCATTGTGAATATGAAGGGAACAGGCACACGGAGATTACCACGTGTACTTCGTAATTTATCTATCTAAACTTTACTTTGTGATGTGAAAACCTATTAAGATAATGTTTTGTTTGAAGACGTCATGAAGATCAATATGAAATCCTAAAGCAATCCTCTGCTATCGATTGACTTTCTGTCCTTACATTTCTCACAAAACAGATGTCTTGACACATTCAAAATAAAACTTACATATGGAAATAAAATTCGTCCTGGCAGAAGTGACACATGTCAACATAATAAACCATAATACTTGATAACGCCTGTCAAATCGTCTATCTGTTTTTTTTTCTCCACAAAGCCACAACATATCACAGAATACTGTTTATAAGATATTTAGAAATATGAATAGATAAAGAAGCACAAGATATATGGATATACTATTTCTAACATTTATTAACTAATATTAAAAATAGTATATCCGTATATTGTGTGCTTCTTTATCATAGATTAGTCTTAAAAAACAAAAGCAAGCATACAAATGAAACGCAAATAAGACATTTGAGTCCGGATTAAATTCCGATTAGACGAGGTCCAACAAACTTTTGCCACCAACAATCATTTAAAGAATAAAAGACATGAGAACTTCAACTGTAGTGTTATTATTGTCTATGTACCAGATCATCTTGTGAATCTTTCCGTTAAAATTACCAGATATTGACAACTCTGGCCACACATACTTAATGACATATGGTCTCCAAATCCAGTTTTCACTGTGGGCTGTGGAGATGTAGCAAGGTAAAGAGAACCAGGAAAGAAGGATTCCAACAGTAAACCATTTCGGAAAACGTTACCAGGGTGCATGAAATGGTTATGACTGACCGACGGCTGACAACGCGAAATATTGCAATTTGATAGGGTTCAGTGCATTATCACCAACGCGTTTGGAAATACAAAAGTATCCGCAAGATTGGTACCAAATTTCTCGGCAGCATATCAGAAACGTATAAGATATCCCGTGACAAATTCCTGACATTTCCCAGCGAATTTAAGGTTCAAGATTATTTGTATAAATTCTGTGGTATGCTGCTTAGAACATTTTGAGAATTAGACGCCCGAAATACTTTGATTTATTTACCATTTACCAGATACTTAAAAGCTTAAAAGCACCAGGATTGAAAGTTAACAGACTGGAAGTTCCAAATGGTCCAAATGCCATGGGATAAGGTCTCGCGCCACGTTCGGATTGTTCACAGTTCTAGTTTATACTGTAAACACGCGCCGCATAACGCACCTGCCCTGTCCGTAACAATATAATTTGAGCGCTTAAGAATCAATAGCATTAAGTCATTGCACTGGTTCCACTCGTGCAAATTTGACATGTAGAAGATTCCTATCAACACAGTATGTATAACTTATATTGATCATTTTATTAATATTTGACATCATGATCAACTAGCTCACTAGCTCTTTTTTAGAACAAAAGAAAATAACGTAACACTCAATATAATATTTTCCCTTTATCGATGCAAAGCATTGTTTTGGATACAATGCATGACGCCCAAACAATAATTTGTTTGATTATTTATTACCTACGTCCTCTGAGATGTACGGTGGCTCACATACGACATTTTCCACTTTTTATTTTGAATTAAAAACTTTTTGTTTACTTGGTGAAATTATAATTTTCACCCTGGTGATACTTATTTTCACCCAGATGAAAATTAGGTGATAATTCGTGTAATTTTTAATTAAAAACTTTAATTTTCACCTAGGTGATAATTATTTTCACCCAGATGAAAATTAGGTGATAATTCGTGTAATTTTTAATTAAAAACTTTAATTTTCACCTAGATGAAAATAACTTTCACCAAGGTGATAATTGAAGAATTTTTAATTAAAAACATTTTTTACAAGATTCGTTGAATTATCACCTAGGTGGAAATTATTTTCACCAAGGTGAAAATTAAAGTTTTTGGTTAAAAATTACACGAATTATCACCGTGAAAATTAAAGTTTTAAATTAAAAATTACAGGAATTATCACCTAATTTTCACCTATAGGTGAAATTGAAGTTTTTAATTAAAAATTAATTTTCACCTAGGTGATAATTAATTTTCACCTAGGTGAAAATTAATGCTTTAATTCAAAATTAAAAGTGAAATATGTCATATGTGAACCACCGTAGAGATGGGACGGTGGTTCACTTTATTCAAAACACTTCCTATTTGTTGGTTAATTTCAACCTAAAACAACGACCTTTTTCTTGTAAGAGGGGTGCTTGTACAAATGTTCATAAAAACGGAAAAAGGGATTCCAGAAAATCCACGTAAATCATCAATATGTAATATCTCAATGAAATGAAATAGTTTACATCTGTAGACAGAAGGGAAAATAACAAGTTATTTTATATTTTTTTGGAACGAAATGACCGTCTGAGGTAGCCGCCATTAATTTCGTAGATATACAATATAATGAAGTAACGTCGTAGATGAACATTTAAAAGAAAGTAACATGGCTGGAATTAATTCATCAACAACATGTTTGAATTCTAGACATTTGCAACACAATCCGCTCGATATCAGCTTTCTGTTACAATTTTCAAAATGTTAGTTCAAGAATCAAAGTGTCGGTGACTGACAACATAATCAGCATATCCAGGCATGGCAAGGTCAAGTTCTCTAGATGTTGAATTCCAAATTTACAAAAAATTCTAACGAAAATTATGAAAAATCAAATTCAACATTCAAAATTCTGCTCCTGCCAAGTTTAGGATGACGTTGTTGAAAGGTTCTCATATATACAACAAATATACAAATCGGATAACAATTTGCGAACTCATGACAACTTTGAGGTAACGTCACATCCAGTTTGGATTTCGGTATTATTAAAAATATCGATAATCTGTACGGGGTTTTCTTTAACATTTCTTATACCCGAAACGATTTCGTGTAAACGGACGTTCTCACACGTTCCAATCTTTCTCAAGGCAAGAAACATTATGCCTGTGCCTGTGAGTTGAGAGTCGGCCTCGTATTGGCTTTCACCCCTGATAACAAACCAGAAGTGATTTTTATTTGTATAGTCAGTTTATTTTGAACAAATGATTCCAAAATTTTACATATATCTGTTGCTTAAGATACATCATGTTACATAAGAAAGAAATCACAAGTTAGTAGTATAAGAGCTTTCTGATATCCCGATTATATATCCTCAGATATACCGATTATATATCCTCAGATATACCGATTATATATCCTCATATATACCAATTATACCCCCCCCCCCTCACCATCTCTTTTACCTCATACTCTCCTACACACCCCTCATTCCATCAACCACCACCCAAAAAAGACCTATACGCCCTACATTTTTCATATGAAAAACAAACCTCATTTTCTACTCAAATTGTACCTTAAAAATGGCAAATAAAATACTTGATCCAATCTTTAAATTATATGATCCGATTCGTTATTCATTTAACAAGAAAAAAGAGGATTATATTATCTCACCGACTGTTGGTTCTAAATCCCAGTTGAATGATGGAGGTAGAATTACCTTCGAAATAAATTCATTATCAAATTGGTTACTTCTTTCCGATGCTTATTTCAGATGTGATTTCAAAATTAAAGATGGAACTCCCAATGAAAATCGAGTACCCCTAACTAATACAACGTTAGAAAACATTTTTTTTCCATCTTTATTTAGCGAGATGATTTTGGAAGCTGGTTCAAATCTGATAGAAACTATTAAACACCCTGGGGAATTCGATACAATGTTGAAAACAGTTTTATATCCTAAAGACTTCGATTCAGTCTCAGGCTGGATACCCGATGTTGGCGATGGAAGTGTTTTAAAAGAACCGGTAAGAAATGTTGCAAATGATGCAGACTTAGCTAGAATGACAGTTGTTGCTCGAAACACAATAGAAAGAGTAGCACGAGCAGCTAATCATGGATTCGAAAAACGAGTACTTCAGTATAATAATGTTGTTGAGAATAATAGGTTGGGTAATTACGTAAATTGGAAATTATATCCTTTATTCGGTCTGTTGGAACACAGAAAAGTTTCCATAGGGTTACCATATAAAATTCATCTACAAAGAGAAATCAACGATAATATGATATTCTTTGGAGAGAATGCTTCAGATGCAAAATTAGAAATAACGAATCTCTAACTTTTCATACCCGTAATAACACCATCAATTGAAGTAGAAACGAGAATATTCAACTCATTAGCTACAGATATTGAAATAGTTTTTCTTCGTCGTAATACGGTAGGTAGCATGACTTTAACTGGAGAATCCACCACATGGCTAATCACTAACACTATTAAACCAGTAAGATATTTAATGGTTGATTTCAAGAACTTACCAGATTCTCAAACGAATAGCAATAATATCTTTAGAGTAGCAATAAACCAAACTCAAGATCCTATAATCCATAAAGTTTAAGTAAGATTAAACAACGATAATTATCCTAACCAACCTTTAACAATTAATCCAACCACAAAGGATTATAATGAATTGTATAGAAACTATAAAAATATGTGTGAATTATTTGGAAATCTACCTCAGTTTGAATATGTAGATTTTGCGCTTAATCATCCGATCTTCTGTTTTGATCTATCGGCTCATCAGGAAGATCTATTCAAAACAGGAGTAAACATAAATATTCATATTGAAAAAACACAAGGAGATGTGACCGGTTATTGTTTATTATTGGAAGAAGCAAAACATTTAATTAAAATAGCAGATAGAAGAATGATAAGAATTGAGTAAAAAATACACCTTTAAAAATGAAACCAGAAACTTTAGTTAAGAAAATAATAGAAGCTATAGAAACAGCTTCACCAACTGTAATAACTTATAATGGTAAAAAAATCAAGATAACTTAAAAACTTATTGATATAGAGTTAGAAAGAATTGACACAAATGCAAAAGATGGTGGATTTTTACCTTTCCTAACTTTGATATTTGCTGGTCTTAACGCGGCGGGTGCTGTTGCTGGTGGTACTGCTGCTGGAGTAAAAGCTGCCAATGAAGATAAAGCCACTGCAGTAAAAGCTACCGAAGAACATTGACATAATTTAATAATGGAAAAGGAAGCAAAGAAATTAGCTCCTGCAAAAAAAAAGGTTCAGGAGTGGCAGATATATTAGGTACAGTTAAAGATTTTGGAAAACGTTTTGGGGAAGAAACTAAGAAAACTGTGATAGAGAATAAAACACTACCATTAACAAAATCGACACAGGAGAAATGAAAGTCAAAAATAAGGGTAATGGAATATTTTTAAAAAACATACACACAGGAGAAGGATTATTTCTTTCAAAATATAAAGGAGAAGGAGTGATTTTTGGAAAAAAAAATATAGAATAAAAAATAGGGAAGAAATTCAAACATTCAAAAATATTTCCTAGTATCCCAATGCTTTTGTGTATTTGTGGAAGTTATATAGAATTATAGAATATATCAAAGCTAAGAATAAAATAATGTCCCAAGTTGAATATAACAAATTACAACAACTTGGATTAACAGAAATTCTACAAACTGTATTTCAACCAATATTAAAATCTCAAGAGGATATTAAAAAGAAATTAGCTTTAGAATATAGACCTCCTATAGAACCTCATAAAGATCACCCAGAACCGAATCAATATGGTGGTATTATAATTAGAACATTAGATGATATTAATAGTTTTTTTTTTCAAACCCTAAAGCAGATTTACCAAAGAGTATTACACCAATCATTGATGATGAGATGTTATTGTTTAAAGGATTTAGAATAAAATTTAGGGCAAATTCCCCTATATTCAAAATCGATACAAAAAACTTAATATTTACATTAACAAAGGGGTTAATAGATTTAATGAATGGCGGGTATATTGGCATTGCCGATTACAAGGATTTACTAGCATACTCAAAATTTTTACATGCAATAAGAAAGTCGGGACCCGAAACAAAAAGATCGAAAGCAGTTGAAACATATATAAAAAAGGTTATTCCTGACGAATATGAAGTTGATGAAGCAGATGATGAATAGGAAGATGAGGTATCAGATGATTATAATAGACGAATTCGATGATATGGTGGCATCTGGAGAAGGTATAACGTTTTTATCCGACAACAACGAGGAACTACTTAATAGATTACGAGTAATATTAGCGGCAATGAAGGAAGGAATCAATCACACAGACAATATAATGAATATAAATAAATATAAATTGTATTTTAAAAAGACTCTATGTCATTATTTATGTATAAAACATCATGTTTAAGCGCAGTGGCATCAACTCTATTGACTGTTTCTTCACCTGGTTTCGGTTTATCGTTTTCGTCTAATCGCAGATCTAGCCTAGTACCTGGACCAGAGTAATTATGACCGGGAAGATGTTTTTCTCCAGGATATTTTGCCCATGGAAATCCAGGAAGAGAGTCTAATGATCTTTGTATATCTGAACCGAAATAAGTTTTTGGAGGGTGAGCGACTATCATTTTTATCCTATAACTTTAAAACTTTTTCCTTTCCGTTCTTCTTATCTCCTGTTACGCAGATCTCTTATTAGTTGTAATTCTTTCAACTCGTCAGATTGTTTCACTGAAGCTGGATTGGTGTCCGAAAATGATTATTGTAAAGGAAAGAATGATTACAGTGATGGTGGAATTATATATGGTTTATATTTAGCGCCAAAAGTTAAATACATTATCATTCTAAATTCCGACGGTATTCTAAAAGAAAAGAAAACGTTTAAGGGTTACTCTAATGATAAGATAGCTGTAGAAGATTATATTCGATTAGCTAGTGGACATGAATTTAAGAAACCATGGGAAAAAAGTTTCACCAATGGAGTAGTTATTCCAAAGGATGATGATCAACAAATGAAAGTTTTTCAGAAGTTATCTAAATCTCGTTAAGAGAAAGGCACCGGACGATGAAGGAATCATGTATCCTTATAGTGATAAAGATGACTTGAGTTTGGATGAAAACTATGAATTTGATGATTTCGATTACCTTACTATACAAGAAGAGAATGAAGAGTGTTTAATTTTATTTTTTTGTTTTAAATGAAGTTGAATAACAATTTCCTCGTTACCAAAATCTATAAACCTATTTTTACCATCTTTGATTTCCAGATTTATATCTTTAATCATAAAGGAATTAAGTGGTACATATGTCGTTTGAAATGGTTTCTCTATAATTCTATATCCTATCGGTACAGTGAATGTTGGAAGATTGTAAATAATCTGACGTTTGTATTTATTGAAAAATCCACCGTTTATAAAATTGCAATGTATATTTATCACATCGATATCATTCTCGATATTAGCTTTGTGTGGTGCTAAAGTGGATAACATTTGTTTATCAAATCCTAGTAACGCATTCAATGAATTTTCAACTTGACTATTATTTCTTAATATCAATTTTATTTTGTTCAGATTTAAATTACCTTCGAATTCAATATTGTTTTTACCATTTACACTTCCTCCATATTCAGATAGGTATTCGTTAATGGCTACGTATTCGTAGCTTCCTGGTAGTAAACGTATGGTTTTGAATGTAACTCCATTATCTGTTGATATTTTTATTTGGTTATTTTTTACGTTGATATTTCTAATGGAATTGTAAACAGAGAATACTTTAATCCCAATTCATATTTTTGATTGCGATCGAGTTCGTACTCATAATCTAGAGACAATTTAATGTCTTATTTATTTTAGGTGATAACGAATAGTTGTTCTTTATTTGACATTTTTAATCACGCTTTTATAATCATTTTTATCTATAATACCTTTCTCTAGGAGTCTTTTTAGCATACAATTCACTTCATTAAATTGTCTGTGTGATCGATGTCCTTCCTTCATTGCCGCTAATATTACTCGTAATCTATTAAGTAGGTCCTCGTTGATGTCGGATAAAAACATTATACCTTGTCCAGATGCCACCACATCATCGAATTCGTCGATTTCTTGTATGGATTGTTGTCTTCAGCATAATCACCCACTTCGTCAACTAAATATTCATCACCATGTTCAATTACTCTTATATATAGTTCAACTTCTTTCGATCTTCTTGTTTCAGGTCCCGACTTTCTTATTGCATCTAGAAATTTTGAGTGTGCTACTAAATCCTTATAATCGGCAATACCAGCATCCTCCCCATTCATTAAATCTATTAACCCTTTTGTTAAAATCAATATAAAGTCTTTTGTATCGATTTTGAATTGTGGTGAATTTGGACTAAATCTTATTCTAAAACCATTAAACAATAACCCCTCATCATTAACGATTGTTGAAATGCTCTTTGGTAAAACTGGGTCAGGGTTTGAAAAAAGACGATTTATATCATCTATGCATCTCTGTCCATTCCGTGATTTATCGACTGAATGATTTGAGATAAATCTTTATCGTTTAATTCAAATAATAAAAAACAATTTGCATTTTTTCTAATGAACATAGAATCCATCCCGTAAAAAGATTGGGATTGGTATATGCAGTGACAGTTGTGATGTCTTCCTTTCGTGAAGATTTCTTGTTGAACAGCTTGATTTCTTTGCGCAACGCAGTCGTAAAACAATATTAAGTTCTTTCGATTGCTATCAATATTAGACAAGTCTAAATCATTAACATTTTTCGTAAGAAAAACTTTTATATCCGTTGGTTTCTTTGCTTCAATGTAGTTATCTATGATATCTTTTATTTCCACTTCTTCTTCGTTTTCTTCATAATATTGAAATATGTCTTGAACATCTTTCTTTGGTAAATATTCTAAAGCTTTGAGGAATTGATAATATGATCGCTCTGGTGTTGTTGTGTAGATATATAGTGAATCGAAATCTAAAAGGTTTGGTGTTGTCAACATGTTAAAAGTGAGATGAGTTTTCCCAGAACCGGAACTACCGCATATACACATGAGCATTGGGTTATAAGGAAATATTTCTGAATGATTAAATTTTTTGCCCATTTTTATTATTTTATTTGATTTCAAAAATCATTCCTTCTCCTTTATACTTTGAAAGAAATAATCCTTCTCCAGTGTGTATATTTTTTTTAAATATTCCATTACCCTTATGTTTGACTTTGACTTCTCCTGTGTCAATACTATCTACTAATTTATTTAATCCTTGTTTAACAGTTTTCTTGGTTTCTTCCCCAAATCTTTTTCCAAATTCTTTTATTGTGCTTATCATATCTCCCACTCCTGAACCTCTGTTTTTTGTAAGAGCTAATTTCTTTGCTTGCTTTTCCATTTCTAAATTGTGTCTATGTTCTTCGGCAGCTGTTACTTCAGCTGTTTTATCTTCGTTGGTAGTACGTACTCCAGCAGCTGCACCACCAGCTATTGCACCCGCCGCGGTAAGACCAGCAATACTTTACAATATTTGTATTTATCAATAAGTTTTTTAGTTATGCTGATTTTTTTACCATTGAAAGTTATTACAGTTGGTGAAGCTGTTTCAACAGCTTCTATCATTTTCATAACTAAAGTTTCTACTTTCATTTTTGAGGGGGTATTTTAACTCAATTCTTATCATTCTTCTATCAGCTATTCAAATTAAATGTTTTGATTCTTCCAATAATAAACAATACCCGGTCACATCTCCTTGTGTTTTTTCGATATGAATATGTATGTTCACCCCTGTTTTGAAAAGATCTTCTTGGTGAGCTGATAGATCAAAACAGGAGATTGGATGATTAAGTGCAAAATCTACATATTCAAACTGAGGTGGATTTCCAAATAATTTACACATATTTTTATAGTTTCTATACAATTCATTATAATCCTTTGTGGTTGGATTAATTGTCAAAGGTTGGTTAGGATAATTATCGTTGTTTAATCTTACTTAAACTTTATGGATTATAGGATCTTGAGTTTGGTTCGTTGCTACTCTAAAAATATTATTGTTATTCGTTTGAGAATCTGGTAAGTTCTTGAAACCAACTATTAAATATCTTACTGGTTTAATAGTGTTAGTGATTGGCCATGTGGTGGATTCTCCAGTTAAAGTCATGCTACCTACCGTATTACGATGAAGAAAAGCTATTTCAATATCTTTAGTTAATGAGTTGAATATTCTCGTTTCTACTTCAATTGATGGTGTTATTACGGGTATGAAAAGTTGGAAATTCGTTTTTTCTAATTTTGCATTTGAAGCATTCTCTCCAAAGAATATCTTATCATCGTTGATTTCTCTTTGTAGATGAATTTTATATGGTAACCCTAAGGAAAACTTTCTGTTCCAACAGACCGAATAAAGGATATAATTTCCAATTTACGTAATTACCCCACCTATTATTCTCAACAACATTATTATACTGAAGTACTCTTTTTCGAATCCATGATTAGCTGCTCGTGCTACTCTTTCTATTGCAACAACTCTCACTCTAGCTAAATCAGCATCATTTGCAAGATTTCTTACCGGTTCTTTTAAAACACTTCCATCGCCAACATCGGGTATCCAACCTGAGACTGAATCGAAGTCTTTAGGATATAAAACTGTTTTTCAACATTGTGTCAAATTCCCCAGGGTGTTTAATGGTTTCTATAGGATTTGAACCAGCTTCCAAAAAATTGTTTTCTAACGTTGTATTAGTTTGTGGTACACGATTTTCATTGGGAGTTCCATCTTTAATTTTGAAATCACATCTGAAATAAGCATCGGAAAGAAGCAACCAATTCGATAATGAATTTATTTCGAAGGTTATTCTACCACCATCATTCAACTGGGATTTAGAACCAACAGTCGGTGAGATGATAATATAATCCTCTTTTTTCTTGTTAAATGAGTAACGAATCGGATACTATAATTTAAAGATTGGATCTAGTATTTTATTTGCCATTTGTAAGGTTTAAAAATTGAGTAGAAAAATGTGTTTCCAAAAAAAGAGTTATCTCTCTTCTACATTATTAAAAACCGGATGTTATTTTATAAAAGGGTATTTTTAATATGCTTTTGTTGATGGCATGTACGAATTGATTGCAGGTGTTTTTAGTGTAGGAATTTATGAAATGTAGGGTGTTTAGGTCTTTTTGGGACCTTTCAATATGGTCGCACTTTCCCCATGGAATGAAATGGAATGGGGAATCCCCTTGCGACCATATTGAAAGGTCTAGTACTACTAAGGGTATTTTTAATATGCTTTTTTCGTTAAATATTCTAATCTAAAGTGAAGAAGGGATTATATAGGATTCTGATTTAAGTTTTTTTGTGATAGTTGGGACCGAAGGATGTGTCTTTTTTGAATTTGTGTGATTTTACGAGTGTTTTTTGTTTTATGACTTATATATATTACTATTTACTTCCTTATGTTGATTTTATTCATATACTATGGAGATAATTTTAAACAGATTACACAAATTCAAATGTGATGTTCGTGTTTTTGAAAATGAGTTAATTTAATGATGAAATGTAGGGTGTATAGGTCTTTTTTGGGTGGGGTTGATGGAATGTAGGGTGTGTTGGAGAGTATGGGGTAAAAGAGATGGTGAGTGATGGGGGGGGGGGGGCATAATTGGTATATATGAGGATATATAATCGGTATATCTGAGGATACAAAATCGGTATATCTCTATTACTCTAACTACTCAAGTTAAACAATACAGACTCGTGAACAATACGTCACTTGAGGTTTTCCCACAATTATTTTATCTATTCACTTTGGATGTTCGCTCAAGTTTAGATAAGCGATAAGGCCATAATTCACTTTTCCTGCAGATGATGACCTGAAATGGCCACGAATAAACATTACTTTCACCAACCGTGGTAACTCAATTTTCAAAAACAGTATTTTTGGAAACAACATCAAGAATATAATTTAAAATTTTTAAATTCTCAAACTTGGCGTTGGCAAGAGTATGGCAATTATTTATCAATTTTCTGAAAACTAAAACATCAAGACGATCGTCCATGAAAGCCTGCAGTTGCCATAATGTGAATTTGACTGTATATCACCTATCTTGACACGTGTACATAGTTTCGGGAGAATCGAGTTCTAGAAAAATAATGTTTATTCAAATGAACAGTATGATATCGAGTTGACAACTCAACACCATGACGCTTCTTGGATGACATCTACCAGCTGGTTAGGAAACATTTGAAATATATATTCGCATCAAATCCACTCTATCTTCAGTATCAGGTTAGGTATCAATCTGAACCCCAGAAAGATGTTTAGCCTTTTGTGTTACTTGTTAACATGCCTGACTCTTATTGACGCCGGTAAGTATTTATAACTTGAAGACGCCTTGAATCATATTGTTGATGCTGGTAAGTATTTATAACTTGAAGACGCCTTGAATCATATTGTTGATGCCGATAAGTATTGGTAACCTTTGGGACGCCTGAACTATTATTGGCGCAGGTAAGTATTGATAACTGGGGGACACCTTTAATCTTATTGGCGCAGGTAAGTATTGATAACCGGGGGCACCTTTTATCTTATTGGCTCCGGTAAGTATTAATAACCTCGGATCGCCTTGAATTTTATTGCCGTCGATTAGTAACTTGGAGACGCCTGTACCATTATTAACGTTGGAAACGTCTGATAAATATTGATCACTTGAGTCAGACGTCACATCGTCCACATAACACACCAATAGATCGATGACTTTTCGGGTGATATTTGAAACATACGTTACTGTAACGTTAAACGGACATATCTGGCTCCACTCTTTCCTTTGAAGTGATATAGTAGAATATGTGGTAATATCTTGGAGGACTAATTAATGGTAAAGATTTGTATAAGACATCAGTAGCCATGCGAAATATGGTTTTCGTCGTGTTGAAATTTCTCAAAAAGTAGCGAATCAAAATTGGATCGGAGCTACTCTCATAAAACATAAAAAAACATTTATGCCCTAAACTTTCCGATATCCCATCCGCATATCACGTCCTAGGCACGGGAAAGGATAGATTTGTCGGGTTACTGTAACGAACGTTACTAGCGACGAGAGACCATTCCCGAATACCCAATACCACTATACAAAGAGGGTTTGAGAACTGCACACCACTTACCTGAAGTTGATTTTGTTTTATAGTTCGATATATTTATTGCATATCAATATAATCTTGATGGTAGACACTGTAATTTTCGAGATTATTCTTCTAATTTTTACCATTAAGCTTTAGGTCTAAGTTGGTGCCTGGAAATAACTAACTAAATAAAATTTTCAGAATGTCAGAACCATCCTGTGATCAGCAACGTAGATGTTAGCTATGCTGAAAATTGCCAAGATGTGACTATTACATGTAAAAAAGGGTACCAAATGGTACAGCAGGTGACATGTACAAACAACGTGTGGATGTATCAACCATGCTGTCAACTAAGTAAGGGAATTTGATATAATTATATATTATTACCTAATGATTATATTCTTTGGTCATCCTAAAAGGTAGTGTAAAGTGCAATATATATGGTCAGAACTAAGCGCTTCTAAGCGTGTTTCAAAATTACTTAGTTTAGTGGATTATTATGGATTTATTGGAATATATAAGGTAAATTTGTTGATTAAACAATAATTTGGGGTATAAATATAACTAATACTAAATAATCTTCTTTTTTTGCAGAACCTATGTAAGTATTATATTAACTACTCGTAGTTTTTACCAGAATGATCGGAAAGGTGATTTATTATGATTTTGTCATCGCCAGTCTATGTAGAAATCTAAATTGTGAGGTAAAGCACCTATTGCAAAAACAATGTCTTATGTCTAATGCCAAATTTCAGAATACCATTAATGTCCAAAATCAAATGTTTCAAGTTCAAAATTATAAAGACAGTATATGTGTATCAACTTGATCAACATTAATTTGTTTCCAAATGTACCTTTTTTGTTAACTAAGCTGTTGAAGCTTGTTTTTGTGCTGGGTTTTATAAAGGCGTGTGTTCTCTGTTGAAACCTTTTGAATTAGTAAGAGAAATATTTCTCTACAATTTGGTTTTTATTTTGTTATTAAAATCAATTTTTTCAACACCAAGCAAAGACAGGATTACATAAATCTTTTAAATGGTCTTTTAAGCGTTCTCAAATCGCAAGGTTTTTTTGATTAAAGCGTGATTAAGTTTAGGAACACACTTTTCTGGATTTTAATTAAAAGTTTAATCATTTAATAACCCAACTTTCTTAACCTACTAAAACATTAGGCTGCCTCTTTAGATATTAAACTTTAAGGTCAAAAGATTATTGTCAATTAACAATCGTTACATTATTCTTGAGATATTACTAAAACATGTGTGTTATATGCATAATCCCTTCACATTTTACACGTGACATTTGACATTTAAATTTGTAAAACATGTGTGTTATATTACTTACCTGGGTTCATAAAGTTACAACAGAATCCCGGTAAAATCTGGAAAATTCATAAAACTAAGTAATCGTAATATTAAGCGTTTTTCAATAGTTGATTGCATATTTATGGATAATTATTAAGTTTTTTTTTTTGATTTATCGGATTATATAAGGATCCTGTTATGTTATTTATGACATCAAGTATATCTACTGATCAATATTATCCTCTTATTGGCCGAGTTAAAAATGACTTTCAGATCATGTAATGCAGCAATGCGATATAGAACCATTGACGGAACGTGTAACAATCTACACAAACCACGAGACGGATCCTTTAAAGATACTCTTCTAAGACTGGTACCTAACGCATATGAGGACGGTACGTATTGAACCTACAATCACTTGATCACGTATAAAAAACATATTGCAATCATATAATTCAAAATTGTGTTCGTCGAGGTAAAGGATCAAATGAGAGTATGCAAAGTACCAAGAACTCACCCAGAGCAGGTTTAATTTTATTGTTACCATAATTGTATGAAATGTGAGTTATTTTACTCTTCATCTAATTTGATCACAATTATATTTCATTGCTGGTAGTGGTTTAATCTTCGGCGTTTTTTTTTTAGTAAAATAAATTCGCCCATTTCATCTATACATTTATTTTTCTTACAAAAATATTGTCAATAATTGTTGCTTTTGCAAATGGTATGTATTCTATGAAGTGTTTTCGAAGTATATCCGATTCGATTCAATTGCCTTTGAATTTTTACGAAACAAATGCAACTCTGAAGATTATGTGTTTGCTCTTCGGTTTTACACCACACGCCATCCATGATCTATAAAATTTGCATCTCCTGTTCTAGACCATCTGATATTCATCCAATGAAATGTTCTGTTTGATAAAAGATTTCTATATTACTATTTGTAAATAATTGAAGTTAAAACTCAAAACGAAATATTAAGAACTGAAATCAGATTGCCTCATTTCTGCTTGACGTATCTTATATCTATTTCATAACAGGAAAGTCTTTGCCACGGTTTAACGGTTTTGATGGATATCTACTTCCTAGTGCCGGGGAAATATCTCAAAAAGTCCTCACTAACGTAAGTGAACCTGCACTTACATCACTTACCAATTTACACCAGGTGTTTGGCCAGTTTCTAGCCCATGACATCGTCCTAACAAAAACAATGAAAACATGTAAGTTACCATTACGATCTATTGTAAAATGATACGAAGAGAACTCTTTTATTATTCTGAATAGCAGTTATTTTAGAGAATATATTTTTATATATATAAAAGTTATAAGAGTTATTCCTCTAGTAAAAACACTGTGAACTGAACTGAACTTAACTCGCAAATCATTTTGAAGTAGAGTGTAGTCTGTGATATCCGATATCTGAGTATTCCGACATTCTGCTTAGTCCGACATCTTTTTCTGTTCTCGATTGATTTCCTTCTTAGGCTAATTTAAAAACTCTAAGTACTCCGACATTCTGTGTACATGCATTACGAATTATGTAATTAATGTGAAATTCCAATACATTGAAAATTTTGCATTTTTCTACCGAGTTTCACTGTGGCCAGTTTATTTCATATCAAGGATCAGGTAATCAATATTCATAATCAGATGTTACGTCATTAACAAACCAAGAAGCTCATATCGTGAATAGTTTCAATTCGAACATCTACTTCGAATAAATGTTGTCGTTTTGATTGGTTAAAATCACATACACAATGGTTTGATTTAGTTTTTAGTAGTTTAATTAATACAGTGTCGTGGTTTATAAGATCATTTTTATTCTCTCTGTCTTCCAGACTCACATTCTTGCCATTGATATAAAAACAATTTATTTTTTCTAGCAAGTGGTGGGAACTATAAATGTTGTAAAGATACGGGTATCGATGAAACCTTGGGTTTAAGAGGGTAACGTATTGCTTTTAATTATTCTATATTTGTCTTATTGTTGTCAGTGTTTAGAAAGTTGAGTTTAACATAAGCCCATTTACACCATGTCGCTATAAAACATTCTGTTCGGCATCTGAGAACGGTTATTTTCGTGAAGAGTTAATAAAACTGATTTCGATACGCTTTTCATTAGAACGCTTCTTAAGAGGATACCACCTCCTAGAATGGACATAAAATTTATGTCTCAAACCTGGTAAACAAGTGTATGTTCACTAGACTAAAGAATAGATTCTCTACATAAGACGATATATCTATTAAACTAAATAATTATTGAAACACGCTTCTAAGCACTTTAAAAATTATAGCACCGAATATTGGCGAAAAACACTTTATTTAGAGATAGAAAAAAATCATGTATTTTCTATCAAACGTTTATTTTCATTGTTTGGTATAGAATAATCATGCAAAATGTTGTATTTTTAGTGAACCCTGCTACCCTATTAAATGGCCCAATCCAGTAGGCGACCATGGATGTGGAAACTTTGTCAGAACAGTTGGCGAGATAGACTGTAAATCACGTACGTAATGATAATAGGCCTAATATATCAATAAACTGAAACTTTGATAAGTAATGAGAGAAATATCTTTAAGTGAAATGCATGTTCGAAATACATTTTAATGTTTGTTGAGCTCAGTTCAAACAAACCCGGTTTCCCTTTGTCAGTGGCGCAGATCAGAGGGGCTGACATGAACATTTCCCACACTGCATGCTCCATGGCGTCTGCCTTAGCTCATAAGATGAAGAAAAGTATGACTAAACTCCATTCATTTCATTTTATATTATGTTGATGTATTATCGACCGCAGACAAACTACTTTTAGCATTCAAACTTATTTTTCATACAAATTCATATTTGTTATTGGTGTGTGCTATATAGCCCATTTTGTTGCTGATGCATCTTAATACATTTCATTTCATTTCAAATACTTTACTACCCTCTTTTCGAAATATTTTAGATATAAGAGAGCCGATAAATTTTTTAACAGCTTTTGTGGATGGATCTGGGGTATATGGATCAACTAAAGATGAAAGTCATTCTCTAAGATCGTTTGTAGGAGGTCAGTCACGATTTGGCTCCACTTAACGCAAGCTAAAAACAAGCAAAATGCCGATAACAGGAGTGGGAATGGCGACACGTGACAGGTCAACGAGGTTAACGATTGAAACACTGAGTAGGCCTACTTGCAAAATAATAAGGAAACTTGTGGGGAATTTAAAATCGGCTCCTTCCACCAAAACCATTACGCAAATTTTTAGAAACCTATTTTATAAACTTTTCATCGAATGTTGCAGGGAAGTTGACGAAAAGTGCCCACGACCTCTTACCTGCTAGAGGTAATCCTCATGATAAATCAAATTGTATCCTGTTTACAGAGAATGATTTTTGTTTTGATGCTGGTAAGTAGATCAAGGAATAAATCAAATAACCCCTCGCAACCCCGAAGGCAAGTTTTTAGTTTCACAACTAGGTTGATTATTAATCATGACTCTATACACTACTATAAAAGCTCTATAGAGAAGATTTTAATAAGGGAAGTAACTAGTGATAAAATCAGCAAACAGTTAAAAAGTGCTTTCGCTTAAGGCCTTTAAGGTTTTATAGATGGGAGAGGAGTAAAAGTAAAGATTTATAAGAGGAAGGGCGGTAATGTAATTGACAAAATAATTTGTTGCAGGGCGTTCGTAATTGATTTTTTTTTTGCAGGGCGTTCGTAGGCGAACGCCCTGCTTTGTTTTCGAATTGCTGAAAGCAAAGTCCCAGTTGTATC